TCTCAAGTCAAGAAGACAACTCGATATATCCCGAAAAATAATGCACGAATAATCCCGAAAAAATCCGAAAACTCCCGAAAAGTAAAACACGAACACACATTTAATTTTATTGTTAATGAAAAATATATGTACATATGTGCGCCTGGAAAATCCTCTGTGTACATTCTTTTTGTAAACTAAAAAAGGCAATAAAAGAGGCGTGCGTGCAGAAGTGGCCTAACTCGCTTTTTTTTGTACTTCACTACTCAAAATAGTCTCAGATGTGATTTACTTCAAAATTAATTTCCATCAACCCTTTTCAAGTTTGGTTTGAAGACAAACCAGTTATGGCGTTGCGCCATCTTCAGTGTAATTTTTCATTCTAAAATGTCATAAATTTAAAATAAAGATTTGCTTATTTCTTAATTTTAAGATATGCCTTGTAGCTTTTGGAACTATTTTAAATAGTTGCATAAGTACAAAAAAAAATGGATTAGGCCACGTCTGCTCTCAAGGCCTCAAATTATAGCTAAAATTTATCAGAAGTTCTTTGTATTCATTTAAAGAAACAAAACGAGAACATAATAAAACCAAACGGCGCTAGGAGTACCATGATTAAAAATAAATACATACATACATATGTATGTATGTACAAGTGCACAACATTTCCAGTCTACAAAAATATGGCTACACAAAGATGCTTATCGTAAGTGCCAGCACCCAACTTTCACAATTCAGTTCACAGTTTTCGCAACGCTTCAGCAAGCAAGTTGTGCAAAAACGCGTTTTAGTTAGACGCAGCAATTGAGTTAGTTAGTAATACTATATTTGTGTGATGAAACTAAGGTGATACTTTACAAGTAGGCAAAAATAATGGATATTTTCTTTAATTTAGCAAACTTTCTTTCCATACTCAAGCGACAATAGCATAGAAAACTGTGTACATACATATCTTCTCTCTATCTGCGATCAAAAGGAATTTTCGTTTTGTTTTGAAAGTGAACGCAACCATTTTTAGTTACACATACGCATATACGTATATCGATGGTCCTGTACTATAACGACACAATTCAAAATTCAAAAAACAAAAACGGTTACTACTAGCCCTGTTTTATTCAACCATCATAAGCAAATAGCTAAATCTTGGTCAAATAAAACGAAATTAGCTTATTTCCTATGTTAGGCAAATTTTGACAGTTCTTTTACTGCAAATAGTAGGTTTGTTCGTCGAGCAAAAAATTTGTACGAATTTGTACGAATTATCACGATTTTTGCCCAAATCGCGTTCGTGCAGACCAAAAAATTATCCAGCACTCAAAAATTGTGACAGCAAAGTGACAGTTCTCTTGGAGAGAAGTTGCAAATTCTTGCTGGAAAAAATTTTGCCAGCAAGAATTTGCAAACACGAAAGACATGTGGTTGTGGCGCATGGTTGCATTTTTGTCTTCAATAATTTGAATAAATTAGTTCGTTAAATTTAAAAATTTATAAACACGAGCGATTTTTTTATGAAAAAAGGAAGTAAATAATTGTTGATATAATTAATTTAGTTAATTCCAATGATTTGAACTTAATTCGGCTGAAAAAAATGGTATTCGCAATCGGAATGCAATTGCAACCAGAGTCGATTTAAGAAACCCGACAGCTAGTACGATGAAGAAATTGAAATGTATGTTAAAGAAAGTCAGAACAACAAGAAATATACATGTATATCCTGTTTTTGGCCATCCGAAAGAATTTTAAAAATTCGATAAAAATTTTTTATGTTTGAAATGCAACCGTGGACGCCAGCTGGCAGCGAAACTTGCAAATTCCTGCAAATTTGCGTTCGTGCAGAAATTTGCAAGTTTCTCAACATGAGAGAGAATTTGAGAGAATTTTTTCTTACTCTCTGATATTTTGAGTGTTGGATAATTCTTGCTGGATTTTCGACGAACAAACCTAGTGTCAAAGTAAGTTTTTGCCTCTTTCTGATTGGCTGAAGGGGAAAATTTCTGATGCTGAATGGCAATGCCTCTTGTTCAATATACAAGCCAAGATAGCTTTTCATAAGCCAATATAATTATGTTGGGTAAGTCCTCCATACAAAATAAGCTAATAGCTTAAATATCTGGACAAATAAAACACGGCTACTGTTAATTTGCTCACGTTTCTAGTCCTTGTCGCATCCATGTCTAATCTTTTGCATTAACTTTAGCAGTCCTTACTGTTTAATTTAGTTAAGGTTGGAAATGGGTTAGATAAACATTACAGACAAGAGCCACTTAAGAGTAGTAACAGTTTTGCAAAGCAGAAAAACTATAAAAAATTATCAAAAGCAAACACAACTGTTATTTTTTACCCTTTAATTTGAAAAACAAATAATAAATAAAATTTTATAATTAAATCCATAGTTATAAAAAATATTTAATATTACTTGCTTTGTCAAAAACAGAGAATCTGTATGCTTATTTGCATAACGAAAAACAACTTGTAGATCCCCTAAACCACACAAAATCATTGCGCAACCCGAGACTTGTACAAGTCAATATTGTGGAAATTATTACACAATAATATGGCGCTAACCTTATTTTTGAGAAACGTTGCTCAAGTAAATATGTGCAAGAACTATAAATGTGCGTTGTATATTTTGAGAGCTTCAGCTTTAAAACACAAAAAAGATTATTAAAAATTTTTTTATTTTTTTTTTTTCTACGCTCTTATCCATATTTTATAGTACGATCAGGACACCAAAATGTCAAAACTAGACTAAAAATTGCGCTGTTGCCGCCATACGCCAACAAATTATTGTACAAAAAAAACAAGCATGAGCAAAATATCAAAATGATTTTGATTTTAGCGTAATAACTGTGCAATTTAGTACAAACACACACCACCACACACCACACAAACGACCGACGCCTGATATTGCGCAATGTTTTTGCGTGATTTAGGGGCCCTATAAAAGTGGCATGTGCAAAGAAATTCCGGGTTGTATTTCCCTTATAAGAGCTACCAAATTAAACTTATAAATAAATATAAAATTTTAAAAATTTAAATAACAAGGAAAAAAATATTTGCCTTTAAACTAGTAATATTACTCATAGTTTTCAAAAATTCATTTCTGCCAGCCAAGGTAGCAATATTCGGCATTTATGAACAAAGTATTAAAGTATCAAATCACAAAATTTAGGAAAAAAGCATCAAAAATTATACAATTGTATCAAACCCAACGAATATAGTTAACATCGAAAAATAAAGAACAAAAAAGGTTTTTTTCTAATAGCACTCGCCCCTTGGCAGGCAATGGCAAACCTCCGAGTGTATGCATTTCTGCCATAAAAACAGCTTCTCATAAAAATACAATCACTGTTAGGGATCGGCGTCAAACTATAGGTTCCTCGCCTTTGTGTGACAACAGCACTAACACTAACATATGTATAAGCGCCAGTTTATTATTATTATTATTAGTGAATTAATAAAAGATAGGCATCAATCGAATTGGGTTTTAAAAGGCTTTACTTCAGAACCAGGGCTGACAACTCGGCTCAAACCGTGCCATTTTTGGCCCTATTTTACATCAAATGGCACTTAATTTTTCAATTTGGCACAATGTGCCAAAATGGCACTTTTGAAAAATAGTAATATTTCTATACATTTTTGTGAAATCCTTTGCGTGTACTTCTTTTTCTCAACTAAAATTTTCTAATTTCCAAAGATTATTCAACTGGTTTATCTTATTTTGGCATTGCATTTTTGTTTTAGAAATGTGGTTCTTACTTTATTACTATATGGGAAGGATTAACAAGGGTGGCACCTTTTTTGCCACTTTTATTTTTCTATTTGGCACATTTTGGCACTTTTTTATCCTCAATATGGCATGAATTGAATGAAACACCCATTTGAGTTTCTCTTACCATTCTGTGATGAACAGGATGGAAAAACACTTCCTCTTTCGTTAAACCTTGTTATGAATGACTTAAACGAGGTTCCAGAAGCAACGACACGCAAGAATTGTGTTTCTAATATATCACGTTTGTGTGAAGCAAGACGGTCGGAAAAATATAAGGCTATCAGCAAATTTTCAGAAAATTTTTCTTAGTATGAATTGTGTGCTGCTATAACAAAGCCGATGTTCATCATTGTTTTAATGATAATTGCTAAATATTCAACGTTGCTGGAACCTACAACAAACAATTTGCAAATTAAGACAATAAAGAGCGAAATACACCACACAAGCGGTTTGACAAACCAAGCGAAATTTCCCTTTGCTTCAAGCCATTTGTGCTGTGTATGGGGGTGTTTGAAGGTTTGACAAACCGCTTGAGGGAAATTTGAGCAAAAATCAAAATTTTTTGATTTTCTGGCCGCCATGTTGATGTTTGATCAAACCGCTTGCGTTGTGTATAGCAAAATCGCCTCATTCGCAACGAAATTTTCACCGAGTAAGGACGTAAGAGAGGAAAATGAAAGAAAACCATAATATTTAGCATTGCGAACTGGAAGAAAACTAAAATTCTTTGCTTGAACGAGTCATGTTTGCATGGTGTATGGCGAAATGGGAAAAGTAGGTTTGAAGAATGTTTGACAAGCCGCTTGTGTGGTGTATTTCGCTCTTAACTAGACTCCATCGCCTTTCGTCAGCATATTGAAAATATTTTAGAGGTGGTTAAGAATGATCGCAAGAATGCAGAAGGAATCACTACAGAGTTAATTAAAAAATTCCGTTTGATTACAGCCGATCTAGGAGTTGGCGAAGGTCTATAATAAACTCGCACCTATGCTTTTCCAATGAAAATACTCCAGGTTTTTCTCTGTCTAGATTGCACCTATTGTATTCGACTAAAGCTCTACTCAGTATTGCAGCGGACGACGGTTAAGCGGTCGACGGTTAACCGCAGTCAAAATTAAAACTCACAAAGGCATATGGAATGGTCCATAATTGCGGCCGCAGCGTTTTTACCGCCGACGTTTTCGGTTGATTTAAATTTATTTATATTTTTACCGCCCAGCGGGTTAATTTAGTGTTGATTGTAGTAATTTTTATTATTTTTACAAGTTTGCCAATGTGTTCATCCATATTTCCAGAAAATCTATGTACATACACGCACGTACCGAAAAAATATTTAATTTTAATGATAATTTTCAAATCAAAATGGCAACTGACGGAAGCCGTCGTGCGCCGCAATTGTGTTTACTCTGACAGATTTCACTGCGGCAACTGTTCAGCTGTTCACTTACCGCAGATCGATTTACCGTCGTCCGCTGTATTTCTGGGTAGAGCCTAAATCTTCCAGTGAAAATGTACAAGAGAACGCGAAGCATTTTCAACAGATCTATGATCTAGATATGGGCAATGAACTCATTCTTTGGTACAATTTATGGAAAAAAGAGAAAAAGAACTTGTCCGAAGAAGATAATCGGGATGTTGAAGTTGTAGATCTATTTGAAGAAAAAAAAAAACGAATTTCTACCAGCGATAAATAAGTGTATTTCCATTTTGAGTGCTTTTTCATGCACAACAGTGACTGTGGAGCGATCGTTTAGTACATTTCGCATAGAAAACTCGTCACCGAAAACCGCGAGATGATTCAGAACGAGACAATCGAAAAATTGGTTAAAAATCCGAGATGCTTGTTATTAGCGTAAAATTGATTAAATAAAAAATTAACAAGTATATTTTGTTTAGCCCCCCGCTCCCCCTTACAACAGATCCTGGCTACGCCCTTACATACTACATACATACGTACATACTATGGTATATTCTTTAACTTTTCTACATCTTTCTCTTTACTTTTAGAAATTAAATATCGTTTGTACATTTATGTATATTCAAGCGGTTTCCAGCTGCCTTGTCCCCGAAGACTTTCGAACCTTTATGTCAGTTATGAAGCAAGCAACGGAGTCGCTGTTTTCATCGACCAGATTCAATTTTACCTTTACGCTGATTTCCGGATAAGAAGTATCCACTTCAAAATTGAAGTTATATACAACATCCTCGGTTTTATCGATGGGACAATTGGCACCATACAACAAATTGCTGCACACATCGGCCAATTCAGTGGGCAGTGGATAGGGTACAGTGATACCTAAGGCGGTGGCGTACACATCAGCGGAAATTTGCTTGGTGTTGTCCCGGTCTGTAATATAATTTAAAATTAATACAATTAAATAATCATTGACTTCTTGTTTTTAGAACTTACTGCCAACAAAGTGCACCTGCATCACCACCGTGGAACCCTTAAGAACAGTGCATGGTATCTCTTCGCAGCCCTCAACATCAACGCTAAGTGGGAATGGCTCACCATTTTTACCTGAAAAAAAGAAAGACAAAAAAGTTATTTAATAATCAAAGGTATACGTAAATACTAAGCATGATCCTTCGCTCGTACGCAACAAAAAGTTATATCTACATTAGACCATACCAGAACAAATAACGTTGGAACTATTTTTGCAAGGCAAATAAAATATTTAGAGGTCGCTCAAAGCGCTCAAAGTTTTTCATGCGTTTTATAAATATTTTTTTTGATTTCCAAATATAAAAATTGGCCCCCCAATGTACATACACATGTAGAAGTCAGCCAAAATTGTAACAAGATCCGCCTAGTTTGGAAAAAAAAGCTCGAAACCGCCTTGCAAAAATATATATTTTTTTTGTTTGTAAGGAGGTACGGTCTAATGTATATAAGTACATGTGTACATATATAAAGTCTAACAACGAAACTAAGATAAAAGAACTTCGACTATTCGAGACGTTACGGTTGTTGCCATTTAATACACCGAAACATTTTCATTACTTAGTTCATTTTTCCAGCAGGGCGTGCTTTATTTTATATGCTTATATTAAGCTTGTTAGTTCATTGCATTAATCGATGAGATTAGAAAATTATGAAGTTACGCAAAAAGTCGAACGAAGTATCAAAACCATAAATTAAAACGAATTGAGTCATTTTCCTAACTAGGCCGCGAGGCTTAAATTTTTGATAAAAAATAAAACCATATGTCAGAAGTGGATTCATAGAGGGGCTATTTAGTTCGGCGTTCAGCAAACAGGTATTATATAAACCGTTCATGCATTCGTATGCATACATATGTACACATGTACATAAATCCATACATTGTAAGTACATATTTCTATATCTAATACCTGTGGAACTTACACATTGGGCACAGCCCTCATGAGGTCCATAATGCTGTATGGCAGTTCTTCTCGCCCTTTTTTCGCGTACCACCTATGAACAAAGTGAGGTATGTATATATATGGACCATGCTCGAAAATGCAATAAAAAATTTAACTTGCAATACAATTCTCCGTTTGCTGATCACTGAGGATATGGAATAATACATTTCATATAATCCAAAAGAAGTAGAGACTAATGGCTTTGAAATAGTTTAATATATTTTTCCTATTTATTTCTATACTGGGCTATAAAAGTCACAAATCTCTGATGGAAAGAGTTGATCTTGTGCTTACATATTCATGAAATCGACAAACTAATATTTGACTTCTTTAGCCTTTCTGCTAAATTTTCAGCTTGATTTGAAATTAGCTGATCTGCCATTTATATCATGCCATATCAGGGCTCACAAAACACTGCGCGATAGTCGGAAATTCTCACTTATCGAAGGGTTAAATTCTCTAGAATTTTGGAATACTGAGAATGATAGTAGTTTTAAATCAACATTACTCCACGGCCGCTGTGGCTGTGTGGTTAGAGCTACGTACTACCACTTCGTAGCACCTGGTTTCAATCCACGGTTCGAGCAAAATCTAAATTATAAGAATATTTTCTAAGAGCGGTCACCAATCGGCAGGCAAACCTCCGAGTTTACATATTTCTGCCTTTAAAATGCTTATCATGAAACCACTTGTCGTTCGAATACGGCGTAAAATTTTAGGTCTCCCATTTTGTGTTATAACTACAGGATGCACACTGCAAATTAGAGCATATTCTCGTCCAAACATCTAGCTAAATTTTGTGTGCCAAATGTTTACATATTTTTATTTTTATAGATTTTATAACACAGCCACATTAAAAATATGTAAGTGTCTTGTTTGGGGAATCAGACTATCCTTTCCTTATGTATTTTCATGCGCTGAATATGAATCTGAAGCCTGTTTTTTGAGGTTTGGGTAAAATGCCGACGTGATGGGGCAAACGGGACTTCAACCAAGATCAAAGTGAAGACACCTAATGTATGTATGTATTTATTTTTTCTGAAACTACCTACTCTGGTGATTGTTGAGAGGTCTCTGAAGACAGAACTAATGTTTGATATCGATAGCATAAAGAAAATCGCTAAATTATTTAACTTGACCTTGCAATAATATCCCAGTGGTATTCATATAATAATATCTACTGTTAAGTGGGTCATGTATTAATCCCTGTTCACTCCAAGTCTAATCCTTAGTTAGTATGTAGTAAGGATTACTACAGAAAGTAGTAAGGACTAGACATGGACATTAGACAAAGATTAGAGACATGAACCTTTTAACAGTAATGTTACTTAATACGAGGTTTTTTAATTTTGAGTTGTGTCGCTATTACAGAGAACCATCGATATGTACACTTGTATAATGTAATAATTATGTAAGTATAAATACGCAAAAGTTTTAGTATTTTCAGAGTTTATAATAACGATTATTTACACCATGGTCGTTAATTTCATTCACATTTCACTTACACTCTTTTACATTTGTTGCCGATGCAGTTGCCAAGAAGAGAGCGAAACATACAATTGTCAAACGAAACATATTTGAAGTTACTAAACTTATTTTAAAATTATTTAAATAAAATATTTCTTTATTTATCAAATATGTGTAGTGATGTTCGGCTGCGAGTCACAACTCAGACTGCCGGTAAAATGCCGCTATAACTAAATTTAATACTTTCCTAAATGGATTACATATATACATACTTTAATCGCAAATATTTTGTCCATAAATAATAGTAGATTTGGCTGAATATTAGTTAAAGTGCAGGTGTTCCATTCATTAACAATATAATTTGCAGGTGTTCCAGAGGCACTTATCAGCGCCAGCTATAACTAACGGTCGCTTTTGATAAGTACTTTTTGTAAAATTACTATTTAGCAAGACATGGTAGGAGCTGCTTTTCGTTTAGCGTTTATTGCTACTTTGGAAATTTACTCTTTTTTAGTTTTTTTCCTGAGCACAATTTACCACTGAATTTGCGTACTCTTGCTTCTCTCTACCAGGAGAGTTCATTTTATAGTATTTAACTCAGAAAACGAGTATTTTTTTTAAATACGAGGCTTTTTCGTGTTTAACGGATTACGGCAGATGTGATAACACCGAGCGACAAAATCCAAAATATTTAGAAACACAAGAAGCAATCAATATATTCACAAAACGGTGGGTTAACTATAGTAAAACTGGATTTTTAGTTTTTTCTCTGAAGTCTGAATTTTTTCTAAAAGGACTTTGTATTTCCAGTGATATGATTAATTCCAAAAATTATTTTGAAAATTTCAGTGCTGTGTAAAATAACAATATGGGTACCAAATCAAAGAGAATATTCCGTAGATTAAAAAAAAAATAGAATTTTTTTATTCCTTGGGACGAACACATACTAAAAAAACTCGTTTAATTAATTTTATTTTTTTAAGGTAATAAAGTTAGAAGCATGAAATTCAAAGATGTGGGCGTGTGTATGTTAATCCTTAAAGAATATATATTTTTTTTTTTAAATAAATATCGAAAATTTACAAGAATATTCAAGGGCAAAATTTGAAAAGGACATTTTCCTTACCCATTCGTTTATATACATAAAAAAGTTATTCTTTTTTAATTCTACAGGTTTTTTTTTCATTTGGTATCCATTTTGTTATTCTACATTGCACTGAATTTTTAAAATAATTTTTTGAAGTAATCATATTTTTCAAATTTCAAAGTCCTTCAGAGAGAAGACTAAAAAGGCAGTTTTACTATTGTTGGCCCATGGTTTCGCGAATGTACTGATGATTATTTTTTTTAATTGGCTATCGTACGATATAATACAATATAAGAAAAACCTAATTTTTGCTTGGTACTTACACAGTTCTTTTTTATTATGCAATAACATTAATTTTAGATACATATACGTATATACATCTCAAACTCGGTACCTAATTTTCAACAAAATCTTCCAATGGCCAAGATTCCTATGCCTTCTGTACCTTTATATCGGTAATGAAACAGGCAACAGATTCGTCGTTTTCGTCAACTAAATTCAGTTGCACCTTCACGCTGATTTCCGGATATGAGGAATCAACGTCAAAAATAAAATTGTAGCTCACATCCTCGGACTTTTCGATGGGACAAGAAGCGCCATACAATAAATTGCGGCAAACATCGGCCACCTCTTCGGGCAGTTCATAGGGCACCGTGATGCCCAAGGCGGTGGCATGTACAACGGCTCTTATTTGCTTAATATTATCGCGAGCTGAAATATAAAAAGTTATAAGTTTTAAAAACATTCGAGTATTTTTACGATTTTTGCGCTTACTGCCCACAAAGTTGACTTTCATTAGCGCTCTTCCGCCTTTGACAACATTACATGGTAGCTGGTCACAGCCCTCGATGTCAACACCAAGTGGGTACGGCTGACCATTTTTGCCTGCAATCACGCATTTTTAATTAAATAATATGTACTTAAATAAATATTTACATTAATAACAGTTTAACGAATAAACGACGTTGCCTAAAATTATGTATGTTGACTTCTTGTTAACTTTTGATTATCTTACTTACATTGCCTAACATTAGTAGCCGATGCGGAGGCCAATAAAAGCGCAATACACACAGTTGCCAAACGATCCATTTTTACTCGTCCTTTCAATGCAATTACTTTTTAATATAAGAAAAAAATATTTTTAATTTAAAAATTGAAAATATCAGTCTTATAGCAACCACCGAAGGGTGCCTGCGAGTGCAACAACTAAGAATGAAACTTAACCGCCTCAATTATGCAGCTTAAATAGTTGGGTAAGTTGGCACATTGTCTTATTGCATATGAAAAACTTAAGTATATCCATATGTACATTAGGGTGGCCCAACATTTTTTCCCCCCAGATCTGAAGAATATCAAAAACAAGGTGACAGGTATTTTCTTTATTTTGAAATCGATTAATATTTACCCGTTCTTCCGTAGCTTTGAAGTTTCCCATGTATTTTACATGGGGCGGATACAGTTTTTGGTAAAATTGCTATAAAGTCCTTATAAATAAACATTTTTTGATCGAATAAGACTACTTCTCTTCAGAAGTATTCAAAAAATAACACTATATATTTTATTGACCTTTAAATAATTTTAAATTTTCAAATATCTGGTTACCATATTTTTCAAATTTTTTTTACCACAAACCTACAGAAAACTTCGAGTAGAATTCAAAATAGGATAAAACACATCCATTGAGCTGTTCGTGCGTGATGTGGTTATGAAAACTTAAAATCACTAATTTTTATATATAACCGATAGGATTTATCGGCTATTAAAACACACTTAGTAAAATTTTTGTGTTAAATAAAAAAAAAAAATTATTTTTTGACGATTTTATAGCAATTATGCGAAAAATGTATTTTCCCCATCTAAATTATATATAAACTTAAAATAACTAAATTTTATATATAAGCGATAGGATTTATCGGCTACTAAAACACACTTAGTAAAATTTTTGAGTTAAATAAAAAAAAAATATTTTTTAACGATTTTATAGCAATTATGCGAAAAATGTATTTTCCCCATCTAAATTATATGGGAGGTTTCAAAGCTCCGGCGGCATGGGTAAATATTCACCGATTTCTAAATTAAAAAAAAAAAACGTTTCTTCTTATTTTTTATATTCTTCAGATCTGGGGGATGGCAGGGAAACTCAAAAAAAGGTGGATTTTCCTATGTATTTTTGGGCCACCCTAATGTTCTTACATATGGATGTACTTACATAGACCTCCCCCGGATGCAGGTGTTAAACACCTGTATTTGTTTATAGTTTAAGTCAACACATATAACTAAAACCTAAAACCTATTGGGGAAGAAGAGACCTGACTTTCGGCCAAGTGTTCGGTAAGGCAATTGTCATTAAATGTTATTTATGAACGTAGTTATTGTAAGTTCACTTTTAATTCATTAGTTTCCTCGAAAACAGCAAAGTTACACATATCAATGATAACGACTCACAGAATACATACTTTCCTCTTCTGACTATTTGCCTCATAAGTACTGGGGCTATGTACGAACCGAGTTTGCACATAAAAAAGCCCTGTAGACTGAGTGGTTTACGTGGTGCCAACTCTTACCGATATGACGAAAACTCGGTCAGACCGAGATTATGTCTTATAGTGTCTTATCACTTCACTGTCTAGGCATGCACAGTGCTGCTGTCAGGACTTGATGCGGGCCCTCGAAACTAACTTTGAGATGGACTGGGAACGCTATCGCTGCGCGCAAAGAAAGCATAAGAAGCAAATACGCTCTTCGAAAAGGGCCTGTTTTAAAGAATACTGCAGCGGAATTGAATCCTTGGTCAAAAAGCTAAACTGTTAAGGACCAAACTACATAACTGAGTTAAATTAAGACGTCTGATGGCTCTTTCATCGAGACTAGGATTTATACTCTCTCTCGCTCTATGCTTTCAGAAATTGCCTGGAAATCAAGTTATGGTTGCACCTTCCTCTCCCTCGATAGGAGAGTGAAGGAATGCGAGAATCACTGAGACGAGATACAACGGGTTTGTTGCCAGAACTGTAGCGAGTGAAGATGCCATAAGATATGCTAGTGAATCTCCCGGTCCTCTTGTCACTATTAATGATTCTGATATCTACGCCCAAGACTTTGCGGACGATGTAGCCTGTCTAGTCACGGGCCCATATCTATCGGCTGTTCGCAAGAAAGTACAAACAATAGTGCATATGATTGACACTTGGTGTAATGGAAAAAGGTTTACCGCTAACCAAACCAAAACTAGTGTTGTGGTCTTCACCAGAAGAAAAGGGACTTAGACTTCCACCGAATATGAAGTATCTAGGAGTAATCGTGGATATAAAATGATCGGTGAAATCTCAAATGGAAATGTAAACGGGTCTTTGGAAAAACGTGGGATCTCCTCGATGCCGAGATCCTTCTCCACTTTCCCAACCTTTAGCGTGTTGTGGTTGTTGTCGGTAAGATTTCGCTTTTTTGGGGCAAAGCTATACGCTTATACGCTCAACACCTTCCAGTCATACGTCGCCGTGTCGGTGTTATGGCTTTGTAGTAGACGCAGCACATGTCCCGTTTTCATCTCACGAGGAATGTGCACCGTAGCGTTCAGGATCGACGGAATTTGGATGCGATCTACTATCTCGACAGATGCCCCATTCCATAGGCGTTGGAGGTCTTTCACCGCTACCCTTATCCATGCTAACGAGGGATCATCTTTACAACTTTTCATTTTGACGCCGCTGAACCAATCTGCTTTGTTAAATATCGGCATAGGTGCCTTCGGCTCACAGTGGTCGCCTTTGTAGGGAGAGGTGGCTAATATTCAATTTCTCAGAAATGGATGAACCTATCGAAACTAAATTTTTCACATAAGTGTCTCATTATAAGACTCACCTTTCGGGTAAATTATAAGCCAATATGCTGTAAGCCACGCCCACCGCTGACGCAAATATTTTTCTTTAATTTTTTTAATTGATGTATGTGGATAAAATGCGAGTCTAACAAAAGGACTTTGGGAAAAGAATAATCTGGAAGATCTACGATCATTTCCTGTATGGGTGTGTCGTACCGCTTGTTCAGTATGAATCGCATAGTCATATTTTGCATTTTTTTTAAGTTTATCTCTTTGTGCGTCGCTAGCTATAAAAAAGATCGTTGGACGTGTGGTTCTACCATATATCTGTATACCAGGGTCTTTATGGATGCATACGTGGAATTTTCATCAGATCAATTTTTGCACTATTTTATTTACTCTATATTCAATATGTTCCTCAAATTATAGGTGTCATCGGTACTTATGTTAAATCTCCTAGATATGATCAGATACTTTTTCCTTCACATTTAATTGCAGTCTGTTTACCCACAACCAAGGTACATTGAACAGGTAGTATCAGTAGAGCAGCTGATTTGATTTATTTTCAAATTATTTGGTAATTATTTTTTTCTCACAAAAATTCTGAATTGTTAAAATCCATTTGCATGTGAAACCTTTTTCCATACAAAACAAGCGATTGAATAGCAGCTTTTGGAACGTTCGCCCAACTCAGCAGCACAACCGCTGATTACTGGCCCTTGTAAAGGATGGATCAATGCTTCGAGAAGCAAACAAATTTACTAGGAAAGAAAGTTGCAAAAATTTTTATTTTTTCCAATTTCATTTTTTTATTTTTTATAATTTTTTGTATTTCACATGGCACGCTTTGATTTAGAAGAAAAAATTCAGAACAGTTTTTGACACTTTCGATACCAGTAGCAACAACAAAATACACGCAAATGTTGTTTTTGCTCTACTGATACTACCTGTTTAATGTGCCTTGCCCACAACCATTTGTATAGACAATCAAGATATTCTGTCACTGATCGTTAGAGAGTGTAGTCAAGCGAACAGTTTACCTCACAATGGATGCATAAAAACTAAGCAAATTTAAGACCTTTGGTTTCCCTTTATCCAAGCTAAGTTGGTTTTGAAATCGGACAATAACCACGCCCACCTCCCATATAAAAGTATTTTCTTGAAATGCAAAAACTACAAATTGTTGAATGTTGAAATATGAATTTTTGGCAAATGGGCGTGGCACCGCCCACTTATGATGAAATTCTAACTCAATTTTGACAGCTAAACTCATTCTCACTCTTCCTGAATCGCAAAATGAAGAGTGCACACAATTTTTAGTGTACACTGGAAAACTCACAGTTACAGAATAGAGCCCCAGGGCCCACATAAAGTTCCAGCAAATGTTGCTCTACGCAATTCCCGATCTGCGGTCGTCGCATTTTCAAACCTCCGAGGGAACTTCTGCCATGGAATCGCTTCTCATAACAACCATTTGCCGTTCGGAAGCGACCTAGAACTTTAGGTCCCTTCATTTGCGTGACAAGATCAATACGCACATTTTGGATAACATGATGCCTAACTCGTTTTTTGCATGCATTCAAGAACCTAGCGAAAGGGCAGATAACTATTATAGGAGAATGTATTGAAAGCCTGAAAGAATGTGTAATAGTTTTCAAATTTAGCAACGGTTAGGCCCGATTTCAGATGGCCTACTTAAGTAGAGATTGCTGACTAATTTCCACTATTCCTTTTCAGATAAGTAAAATAAGAATGAAAGTAAGAGGTTGCTAATGAAAAGAAAATGTGGGAAAAGCATTTTGGTTTTGTTTATGTGTAGCAAAACTGCAATGAGAGGATGTAAGAAATGTCAACGAAAACACTAACAGTCGGTGTGAACAGGCTTCAGCTCACAATTCCAAAACTCGTTTTCAAATTGTTTTCGTTGTCGGTCAGAACATGGTATTAGCTACAATCTGTACTTAAATGGCCAATTTTGCTATTTAAATAGAGATATGCAACCCTGTGTTTATACCCAACAACCAAGATTGATTGGTAGGTTGTTTAATCCATCCCACCAAATCCCACCTAAAACAATCAGCCGTTCAGCAGAAAATGTAAACAAACATGCAATTGCAACAACAATTTCAAGGAATAAACAGCAGTGCTGCCAACTGTTTGGCATATTTAAAAAAGTTGATCTCAAACCCAACGAGAGCTAAATGGTATTTAAACAACAATCCACAATTAAACTTAAGTGCCGTTTAAATATTCATTTGAAATTGGCTCTTAGACTCTAACATCCTTACTTTTGACGACAAAACTCAGCCTTAGAAAGCCTTTACTTGCTGACTTGCTTACTTTTTATTTCTATAACCAGATTAACAAGCTCAGGTAGAAACAAACAGTAACTCCAGGCATTTTCGTTTTAATAAGACTCGATAAATAAGTTGCTTAATTTTAACGGGATTTTTTAAACTTTTTGAAAGACTTTGTTAAACATTCTGTTGATTTTTAATTTAAAAACAACAAAAATAGATTGTTTTATTTCAACCCGGTTTTGAGTTCAAAAAAATCAACAGAATCTTCAATTAACGGCCAAATATAAATAAACAATGATTTTGTTAAAGTTTATCTCGCGCCGCCACACTGTTCGTGGTGGAAACATTGTAGACTAGTGCTGGAAAAACATCGATGTTTACGCACGATGTTTACGCACATCGATGTTTCGATGTTTTTTGGGGAGCAACATCGATGTATCGATGCATCGATCTTTTTAAATAGCGAACTTTTTAAATGTTGGCCATACAAGATAAATGAGTTGAATTTGGACTTTGATTTAAAAGAGAGTAATATTTACATACATTGCTCACGTTTATATACACACATATCGTGGCGAATCGAGGATAATCGTAACAATATACACACACATAAACACAGTCCTACAAAGAAGCCTGCGACTTAAAGATTTCAAGTTGTGCCAACACCAATAACCTAAAGAATAAATAATTTGTATTAAAATTGTGCTCGTAGATTTTCACTTAGAGCTCAGTTAGTAAACGACGCAGCGTAAACGGAGGTTGACGTACGTAGCAGCATATCAAATTTACTGCTGATAGAGAGAGAGAAAAGCAACGGCAACGTCACCGCCATACGGTGGTGAGTTTTCGTTAACACGCGAATCCCATAAGATAGATCGTGTCTGCGTCAACCTACGTCTACGCTACGTCGTTGACTGTTTGTGCTTTTACCTATGGGATGGTTATAGAGAAAAACATCGCACATCGGAAAAAAAACATCGATGTATGTATCTTCCAGAACTATTGTAGAAAAATTTTGGAGACCAAAACATTTTAAACCGCGAACTTCCAAATAGCCACAAAAATTGGTGATTTTATTAATTTTAATAGCAAATAAAAATGAGCAGTGCCATTAGCTGGTTGGTACGACCCCTGAATAGAGATTCGTGATTCCCTACTTTAAGGAGTCAACAGAGTAATGCAATATGTAGTACATTCCCACTCCACTGAAGTCTCAAGTGCCTAATTACGCTATGAAGATTGCAACCTCGAAATTTCAGTATCTAGGTTTGATATTTTCAGCGCACTTAATTGCGATTTCCTGACGGGTGTAGTTATGAATGTGTGGTTTGTACTTAATTTCACAATAGAAATGACGGCGTACATTTAGGCACTTTCCTCAACAGTCGCGGCTATATTAAATACACAAGTGTTATTCTCGCAGTCGGTGCACGAATTGCACGGTTTGCAAAGCTGGCCCATAGGAAACACGGTTTTTATCGTGGCCCTAATGTGGCTCTTAATTTTTTTCACGAAGATGTCGATGAGAAATCGTTGAAATCTGATTGAAATCCAAGAAACCGAAATCTGGAAAATATATGGGAAATCCTCCTGGATTTCCAAATCTCAGATTCAGTGCAGTGGAAATCTACTGCACTTTCAAATATTTAACAGTAGGATCAAGGAGATGGGGGAATGTACCAAGGTTTTGACGCACACACGTCTGCCCTTACCCAATCGTAGATTCTCTTTGGGATGCTTTAGTCTCTTTTTTTTATTTAAAGTTGTTTCCTTATATTCTATATAAATGGGTAGGAATTACTTGGCCAGCAATATTCTATATAAATGGATAGGAATTACTTGGCCAGCAAAAAAGCGACATCTCCAAACTTTAGTTTATTGAACCAGCAAATGTAAAATATAAAGGGAATATCTCACAGGTTATTCATTTTTGTAAAATAACATCATATAATGGCGCAAAGTGAAAATTGGAAGAATTTAATTCTGCAATATCCCGGCCTTATAGTCACTGGCTCAAACGCGAAAGGAACAGTGAAAATACAGGTATGATTGAAACAAGGATTTTTAAACTTTACTATCATTTACATATATATAATGTACATATAAACTGCTAGGGAAAATGGTTTCGCGTAAAAATTTTGTGCCCGAATTTCCCTCAACTTCAAGATGCGATTATAGAATTACTGCAGACGCATCAAAATAAATTCATTACCATATTAAATACGAACCTACAGTCCGGCTGGACTCTGTATGATGCTATGGAAAATATACCACAACTATTACAAAAGCAATGCGAGAAGATATCCACTTTTAGCTGTAGGAGTGAGGATACGCTACCAGAAAATATTTACCAAGAAATAGTTGCCATCTACTCGCCCGAGAGCTATCAGCTGCAATTGAATGACGCCTGCAGCCGCTTACGATTCTGCAAATTTGCTCTGCACGGGAAACATTATCTGCAAGTAGAACTTCCAAGTCTACGCATAAGTGAGCATAGTCTACCCGACTGTTTTGATTGGGAAGAACAGCTCCATAAGTATAATAATCTCGCTGCCATGGTGCAGCAATTTCAAAAGTATTTAGAAGACTTGCAGCCATTTTATGATAACTTCACCGATATCGACGAACTGTGCTATGTTGTGCAACCATCACCGCCAGTATCTACCAAACACAATTGGCGTTTGTTTGTGCTGCGCGAGCGAGTCTACCTCAAACTGGTCATCGTTGATCCATTCGCACCAATTGCCTCAATGTCCTTGCAGGTCATAGGACCGACACAAGCAGTTGAAGAATTGCGACGCACACTAAGTGATGGCTTACGTGAATGGGACGCCGAATTAGATATACATAAAAATTTGTTGCGTATCTTCGACCTGTGTTACTTTCCTATGCCGCCGGGTAGCGGATGGTTAGGTGGAGAGCACGAGGCCACAGCAGCGGAACAATTTTGTAATATCTGCTACTCTTATCAACTGGATCAAGGTGAAATACCGATTGTGTCCTGTGATAATCCCCATTGTACGCTTATATATCATGCATCGTGCCTGAAAGAATGGTTCAATACACTTACTGATGGAAAGAATTTTCTCAGTGTGTCCTTTGGTGCCTGCCCATTTTGTAAAACAGTAAGTTTTAAGCTAAGTCCGAATTACGTTGAAATTACTTTGTCTATTTAAACTCGTTTATATTTTTTAGAAACTTTCAACATCATTCGCCGAATTATTGGAAAATTAAACTGTAAATATATAGACTTCTGAAGAGAGTAAGCCCGAATTAAATGGGAGTTTATTAATGTAAATATTCTTTCAAAAGTTCTTACTTTATGATTTAATATAAATCTAAAATAATAAAATACGAATATACCTTTCAAGGAGGGATACTCTTACAATGGTGGTCAAAGCATTTATTTTCTTTTTCATACTGGTTAATTTCAAAATTTTACTTGTTTACAGAGCATGGTAGCGGATAAAGTTCACGACCCGTCTAGTGACTCTTTTTTAAAGAGATGTTACATACATTTCAATGAAAAATATGATATACGTTCGTATATGCACACATCCATATATATATTATATATATATGTACTAGATGGCACTCGATTTGGAACATTTAAAAAAATATATAAGTACATAGCAGACCGATATTGGTTAAACAAAATTATGGTAATATTCGTGTACCAGCCACATATGTACGTACATATGTATATACATAAGCATGTGTATGTGTGTACGTACTATCTTTCCACAAGCCAATAGGGGTCTACTCGCAATCTTGAAAAGCCTTGCGGTGCACGGATTGCACGGCTTGCAAGCTGTCCCATAGGAAAACCGGTTTTTTCGTGCAACCTATGCACCGTGCAAAGACTTTTCAAGACTCCGAGAATACTCCTAATATGTTTATTTGACAATTGCAAACATTTTACCTTTACGAGTATGCACCTAAAATAATAGAAACATTTTCATTCGAATTCATTTTTCTTGCATTCCAATAATGGGTGAAACGTTTCACAATCAAATCTGCAATCCAAACTAAAACATATGAGTCATACCAAATCAATGATGTTTAGCTCATTTGCTTGCGGCTGAAGAGCACGGTTATTAAGTCTCAAGCCGCAACAATGGTTGCAACAGTACAAACGCTTCACCGCTCTCCAAATTCATTGCATTTCTGTACGCGCCAATCTCATTAGACTTTGAAAAACGGCTGCACGTTCATTGGTATTTCCCGGTGTCGGCGAACCTATACGTACACTGGAGCTGGAAATCCCAAAGAACGATTTTGGTACCAAATTGGGTTCGAGCGCCTTAAATTTCCATCCAATATGCCGTGAGCAGATCTTGCAAACAATAATGTGCCATTCGTAGCTGCGTGACAAAGACATGTTAAATTAGTAATTTAAATGTTTATAGGTATGAGTACGTAAATAAAATGATTTACCCAGGAAACCAACTGAATTTTGAAGATGATTGGCCGCTATAAGTTATTGCGTCTGGTAATAGTTGATATACGGTATTCGTTTCATGTATATATCCAGCTATAAGTGAAAGTCAATAGGTCAGCAAATGTATAGAATGAATATCTCACTCTAGTCCTACCTGAATTGCAGTACTGAGTTTGCACTCCGTGTTTTGACATTGCGAAAAGTTGTTGACAATTTGCGATGCGGTTGCCACAATAACGGCATGTAAAAACCGAATCCTGTAAATATATGTTAACGTGAATTAAGATAAAGATTTCATACCAATGTAACTCACATCTGTAAATGTATTTGATATAATTTTCATGCGGATATTCACTGAATCTGTCAAGAAAATTGTTTTCATGAGGCTATCTGATAGGTGAAGGTTGCGAACCAACCAAAATGATAACTGAGTTGGATCTGTTGGCATAGTGTCGATTTTGTGATGTGCTAGCTGAGAACGCGCCTTCTCTACAATCGCTGTAATGCTGTAATAGTCATAGACGTGTGCAGGCCAAGGTGTTGTGGCTGCTTGATAGCGTTTATACGTGTCGCTCATGGACTCTATATCGCGGTATCGATTTAATGAGCCCATATTAATGCATTTAAGAGGTTCACGCAGATATATTTCGGGAAGGATTCTCACATAACCATAGACCTTAAGCTGCGGATGGGCGGCAATGAATGAAAGTGGGCTGCAAATAAAGAAAACAAACATATACGTAACTAACTATACTGAAATATTCACTAGATGTTACCCAGTAACTTGGCTGCCTTTAGTAACGAAACGCTGCAGTGCACGTGACTTAATCAACGTATTACCACGTTCGTCCATGCCCTTTTCATAGATTTGACATGTAACCCCATAAAAGTTATCGCCGACTTCCTCTCGATTGCAGAGTATTGGGAAGCATACACCAAAGAGCATACCATTTTCCGTATCCATATCTATTATTGACCCAGAGATCATGAAAGGCAGAACTTCGCCAGGAAATAAGATGTGTTGATGCATAAAAAGCATCATGTTGTACTCCTTGCCAACTTCCAAGTAATGCACACCAGACACGCGGTTCATGTTCTCACCCAAATATGAATGTTCTGCTGGTAAATTTGTATCAAAGGTAACTGGGTTTTCAGGATCCGGCTCCTCGATTTCTAATTCGCTATTTTCCGGTTCTACGCGCCGGCGTTCTCTGTTATGTTCCATTGTAAAGAAGGCGCTGCGTAAGCGCTGCATAAAATTTTCTCCACCTCGTCTATTTTGCACCAACATTTCTCTGAAAGCAGCACGCATCAGATCATCTAAAATATAAAAACAAAAATGTGTGACTAGCAAATTTAAAACCTATTTCTCCATACTATCGAAAACTGCGTCTGAAGATGATGAAGCGTCGTCCGATATATCTTCTAGTATCATGTTGTCCTCAGCCTCATTTTCTGCCATTGCTTGCTCATCATCATCCTCTTCATCTCTTTGTTCAACCATATCGTCATCCTCCAAAAGCGGTTCAATTAGCGGTGAAGGGTCAAATCGCAAATCTTCTTCATTACCATCGCCATCATTTTCGTCATCACTGAACACTGGTGAATACCACCCGCTATGTGGCCCCTGAGCTGGTTGTTGATCTGAACTGACTTCAGCAACCTCTCGTTGTTCCGTTTCAATTTCCATATTAGCTGCGACTGCGACGGGATGTTCCAAATCAGGAACTAAATCATTGTCTGGGACGAGTACAGATTCTTGTTGGTAGCCAATATCGTCTTGTATGATAGCTACCGCATCATTGATTAATTCAACGGCCAGTGTGGAAACATCTGGTAACTGTTGCCGATTACTCTCTGTATCGGGCAGTTGCTGAGGAATGTTTTCATTAATCGCGTGCTCGATTCTTGACGTTGTTGCGGACGGCTGAACAGCTGCTTCATTTTCAGCAGAAGGGAGACCTGCAGTTGATTCCTCAGTTGTATTGGGTTTTGTGGCAGATACAGAACGGCTGAGTTCATTGGTGCCTTCACTGGGGGGTGGTGTTTCCCCTGCTTCATTAGTATTTACAGTTTCCTCATTGCTATTCAAAGGTTGGTCTTCAGTTGCAGTTCCTGTGGCACCGCTCAAATTCGATGGTTCTTCGTAGATGAAAAAAAACGTTAATGAAAATTATATTTTGTTGTGATAAGTTTACCCTTTGAGTCATAAATTAGAAATACCTGCAGGTCGAATTTGATCCATTTATATTAAATACAAAAACTTCCCGAAGTGTTTATTTTTCAATTATTTGTGCCGATGATCCCATAGAAAGGCCTCAATGTTTTTTTTCAGTAATTTTTGCGTTTTATGGACTTCTATGTTCAATATAATCTTTGAATATGGCTTCTAGATTAGGTAAATACACTTCTTTTTGAATACGTTAATTCACTATTTTTAATATATACACTTTCACAATTGTTTAATAAGAATTTTCTAATGAATTTGTTAATTGCGATTTGTTTGCGATCAATTTTTTTCGTTTCCCACAATTGTCTGGAATGCACTCTCGGAAATCATTGGAAGTACAGGGTGGAACTATTTTGACATTTTTCTTTACACAAAAGAATGACTTTTGGGCCCAAAATGCGACATAAATGCATTACACAAAATCGGTTTGGGACAAAAATGCACATACTTAAACTTTAAGGACGAAGTACACGACACAAGCGGTTTGTGAAACTCGACAAAATTTCCCGTTAGCTCAAACCACGGTGTAGTGAATCAAAGGTGGCGCCGTCTGTTGTACCGCTACTTTGGTTTTGCCGATTTTGACAGTTGAGGTAACCATTAAATAAACCTTTGCCTACAAATCAGCGGCAAAGAGAAATTTGAATTGTAAGTGGAAGTTCAGTTAAAATTGTGTTAATTTGCAATTCGTGAGTAATTTTTCAGCTGAAGACCAGCTTTTATGTACTGCTGAAATGTTAGACCTGTTGGAACCCGTCTTACATTCGCGTGGGTCTGGTTTTCCGCAACTAAAGCATTTTCCAGAGCCATCCTTTTTCTCGGTTGCACCACGAGTATTTTTACCTGCGATCGACTTGAGTATTTTCGGGATCTCGTTCATCACGTCAGGTGTCTCTACTTCTACTCGATGTATTTTGTTGGCTGGCCTACTTAGGAGCGCCGCCGTTTCACGTGTCTGAGCATACGAGACCGTTTCAGCAAATGTTGCCTTTGGATTTGCATACGTCTCTCGCTTGGTATATATGTCCCTCATTCCGCTGATGAACCGCTGGATTTTTACTCCTTCAAGGTGTTCAGCAGTTGCATCTCCAATTGCTAAGTGAGCAGCCAACCTCTCGATCTCTGAGGCGATTTCCTGTACAGACTCGTTGGCTTTTTGGTTCCGATTGACCAGATCCATCTGGTAAATTTTCGTCCTGTGCTCGCTATCATAACGCCTTTCCACTGCACCCATGTTGTTCTTTTCACTGTCGGGAATAGTCTGCAAGATTTCCGCTGCAGGTCCTTTTAATGCCACGAACAGCGCAGCGGATTTATCCTCCATGCTCCACTAGTTTGGGCTAGCCGTGTTTTCGAACTGGAGCTTTAGGACCTGGAAAGGAATCGTGCCATCAAAGGATGGAGTTTTTACCTTGGGAGCACTTGTCGATGCAGCTGGACGATTCAACTGCAAATCTCGGAGGGGATCTTCCAGCTCATCTTCCTTAGCTTCGACTTTGTGCTGTTTTTCCTTAATTAGCGCTCCGATTTTATCTTGCCGCTCTTCGATTTTATCCTGTCCGATTTATCTTTTACTAAATTCTCCCGAAGCTGTATGATCTTTTCATCCAACTGCGATGGCGTGTATTTATTTTGTGTTTCCAGCTGGGATGCAATCTGTGATGACATCTCAGACATGCGTGTATCCTGCACTTGCAGTTATGATGAAATCTGCGATGACTTCTGTGACAT